GACTCTTCAGTGGTGAGTGTTGATTACTTCACCAGTGGATTTACCCAGGTTCTCCAGAGGTCGTAATGAATAGTTAACCTTTAGACCACCAGGATTCCATTCAACGGTGCACATTCTGACTCTATTTACTTCACGAAATAGTGCGATGATCATCCACTTCCATTAGAAATGACTTTTACACTCCTCTCCTGGTTCAAATTATTGACTGTCATGGTAAGACATATAATTAGAAACTCAGAAAGTCATTTCAAATTAGGTAATTAGGTAGCAAAGGAATATATCTTTAATGAAGGAGGTAGGTTTTTTAGACATTCAACAGTAGTTGACAATCATCAATACGGGTTTCCTCAGTTTTTCGGCTTTCTCAAGATAATTATTTAGTGAATAAATACACTTTTTAGTCGAGAAGGAGAATACTAGGATTAATCGGATAAAAACATTTAAAAATACAAACAGTTTTAAACATATTACTATCATGTTTCTCAAAGATGATTATATTTGATTCACTTTTTATGCATATTCCTACTTGTTTGAATGTGTTTGACAAAACATTCAATTTACAGTATGATTATATTTTCAAATATTTCTAGTTTAGTTGTTCTCTTCATTGATTAAATTCACGTTTATTTGAATGCATTGTCTTTCCTCTGGAAAAGGGATTTTAACATGATCATTGAACACTGAAAAATTGTTTTCGTACTCATTGGGATATTTCAAAGAACTCATTTCTGTTATACAGTCTATCTAGTTCGCAACATATTTAGAATTATCATGAAACATAATAATAGGTCGAAACCAAATATTTCCTACCTTTTTATTTGTCTGGTTACCATTGAAGGCATACGCTGTGGGTCAAAAATGTAGCTTAATCTTTTAAGGGTAAAATATATACATTTGTGATTGTGTTGGATATATATTCCGAACTCGGTTTAGCTAATAAGATTGTTAAGCTCAATCCTCCTTTTCTCACTTAAATAACTAGTTGAGCTCGCGTATGGAAAGATTGTGCATCAGTAAACAGACTGAGATAATGGGACAACATAACAATTCTGGTATAAGCTACAACTGTTCATTATGAATTTCAATTTTTTTAGATTTCCAATTTTCATCCAGTCGAATAATTTCTATCTTTTTTTTTACAGTATCGAATTAAAACACAAACAACTCAAAAGTGTGATCCACATAATTCAGCTGATCCTATAACAATCCAATAAAATATTAATCATCTCAGATTTACAAACTACAGAATTAAGCCTACTTTCTTTGTTTAAAATCTTATGACATTGACAGTTGGATAAATATTCAACAAGTTTTTCTTTTATTAAACTAAGAAAGACAAAACTGTTGGCGTTTAACATAATAAATGTAAAATAAATTAAATTGATGAAAGAAATAAACATTTTGTTGTATACATCTTCGTACATATCACTTAAGCTCACTGAATATATATATATGCATTGAGTTCTCTTTAATAGTTTGGTGTACATTTTTCATTTCTTCCTGTTTTACTACTACCAATGTTTTCTTTCAAAGAAAACAAAATAAACTTTTAATGTACAAGATAATTTTCAGACAATTAAACAATAATACTTTAAATACAAAGGTTGATCAGTTATTGATGTGTTATAACTTGTGCCTTCGTACCCTATTCATATATAACGTCATGATACCTCCAATTAGAGAATAGTGGTTTATAAACCGGACCAATGACACATAACACCCGTACGAGCAGTCTAGAGTCTTTATCGGTCCTTCTTCCTCCCTAGCCTTGTCTGTTGATTCCAGAATACCAATCTCAGCCTCCGCTATATGAATAATGTATTTCAAACATACTGCGTTTATATACAAACCAAACAGACCATATCGTACCATAAAATGGAAAATAACATTTGTACAATATCTAGCCAAAAGTGTCTGTGATTGTAGGGGATTGTAAATTTCCTGACTTTATCCTCCCCTATGAAATAGTGTTGGATCCTCGATTCCCTAAGTCACAATTAATGTGACTCTATTTAAAACATATTTCCTGTATTGAATAGAGAATTCACTAAGAAAATCAGTATCTATCGAAATTGAATTAGGTTCTTGATCACCATTTGATGTATCCGACATATTGTTTTCACTTTTGTAAGAAATTTCATCAAGAACATATGATTCATTAAAATAACCCATATCTGGCAAAACAACTAGAAAATTCCGATAAGTAGACTTGTGAGAATGTTTTGTCGTAGAATGATGTGCTCCATTTAGTGCAACTGTATTTATTATGTATGTATTCATTATTTTCTGTTTCTTCTTGATCGGGTATTGCAAAAATTTCATGCTCATTTGACAAGACACCGTCTTTCTGTGAGCTGAACAAGTCACTGCTTGTACATTGTGTTTCGGGGATAATGGGATTCGAACCCACTACATGGCAAGTTTCTGAAATGGACATTACTGGACTACTGGGTGGGTCATGTACAACTGCTACTGTTTCGTTGAAATTACTGCTTTTCAAAGATTCATGTAGGCTTTCATCGACACATTCATTCATTCTGCAACCACTTTCCAGCTCTGTATGCAATTTAGAAATTAATTCATTAACTTACGTCACATCTCCGAAGCATTGATGATTCAGCAGCCTTGTGCGTAATTTGTCTATAATTCTCGTCGGGACATAACAAATGACAAACGTGTTAGACTTTTGTTGGTCGACGATATTCAGATATTTCTACTGTTAGTTTACAGCATATGGTAGTAATGTTTCAAATCCATAAGAAATGCAGGTAACTGTCTTATTGTTACTTAACCTTCTCTGACCCAAACACTATCTGTTTCTGATCAGATCCAAGTGATTTGTTGTTGATTAGGCTTTAGTGAATTATAAATCTTTCTTCTTCTTAGCATCAGAGTACGTATAAACTTCAGCGTAAGCTTATTTTCAATCAGCGATCTATATCCTACTAATCTGAGAATTTCAATTCTAGTACTTTTGAGTATTCACTTGATTCTCAATATGGTTTAACCTTTGAGTGACAGGCCAGATGTGTCATAATTTGCTGAAGTCAGGGTGATAAAATGTCCTAAGTTCAGTTGTAGGTGACAATTACAGGCATGGCAGGTCAGTGGTGTGAGTTTATCCAACCAGGGTCAATGCTAAATATATTTTGTTGGTTCAGACACATCTAAATATGCTTTGATTGTGCGCAAATAATTCGGTTTGTCACTAATGCTTGCTAGTCATTCTTAATCTTACCTGAACACCGGTCGGTCCGAAGGCTTAGTGACTATAAACTTTAAAAAAATTGAACTGATATCATGGACACTAAGAAGTATTATGTTGCGAAACTGCTAAAGTTTACACTGCAGTAATACTATATTTTAACCTTTAATGTTAACACTTCAACATCTTTTACAATATTCACCCTTAAATTCTCCGTACTCGCCTCAAAATAAACGAATTTTCCAAAAAAAATTTGATTGAGGTAATGCCTGTCACCGCGGAAGACAGAAAATGTTTGATTACGATACCGTAATCTAATACATAAGTATGCTTCCATTTACAAAGGTAACTGAAAACTCATGATTTTCACTATGGCTAAAAACACGCATTTGTATATTGTAAACTTACACTATGATCACGTTAAGAAGTACATACATTTCTGTAATTCGATGACGACGTAATAATTTTTATTTAGTTTCACTGCTTCTCTACTTACAAGAAATGATTCATTGTCAAATACTTCATGTAAAAAATGAATGTAAATCAGTAGTCAGTTAATAAAGGGTGGGCCTTTCTATTTCATGATTTATTCAATCAAACAGATTGTTATTAATTTGCCTAAAGATGTTACTATTATGTGCATCGGAATACCAGTTTGAGGGTTTGAAAGTGCAAAAAACACTTTTTTTAACTGGATATTTTGCAACCTTAAACCAGAAAATCCATAGAAAACAGAAAAACCCTGTCCAACAGGCTACACAAGATTTTGAGTATCCAGAATAATATTTGCGATTGGTAATAATTCGATTTCATTTGCCAATAAATGTGAACGATCAAGTAACGCCCTTACCCATACACATTTAAAGGCAGAAATAAGCAAAATAGAGGTTATAAAAAGTTGTTCCCATAAATTTCGAGAAAATCTAACAGTATAATTTTGAAACGCTGGCTGAAAATAGCCAGCTAGTGTACATATTATACTCCCACATTATTCATCGCAAAAATTAAATCCAGAATTCCGCATACGCCACAATAACGTATACATGATTAAATCATATATTTTAAGCTTATAAATCTGCAGGTGCATGAACATATGATCTGTTTTGAAGGCAACTGCAAATGTGCTAAAGTAACTTCAGAGTTATTTTTTTCAGGGACTTGGCAATTCAGCTTCTGTACAGTAAAGCAGGTCACGGGTTTAATTTAAAAACAACCTCTAAATGCTCAAATAGAAATTGTCAAAGTTTGTGAAATCTATAGCCATTAGAAAATCTAACCGTTCTTTGTGTTTAAAAAAATGTTTGTCCTAACTTTCAACCACACCTCGAAATTCCTAATCTAATAGTAACTTTATTCCATATACTCTTAAACTTACATTTCTAAAAGTTATGCAATTTGGAATCTTGTTTGTATGCCTCAGTATCAATTATGGATTTTCTACATACTTTCTTCTCGCTTACTTTAAATTTAGCCTATCACTGCATTACACTTGAAATAAATTTTCCTATTAAGTCAATGTACCTATGACGAGTTTATCCAACGTAGAATTCTCACATGACAACTGAGTAGTTCACATAGAATTAAATACGATCATCTACCTTACCTTTGATGAGGACCTAAGCTTTTCATATAATATATGCATTACAGTTACCAAAATGAATGATAAAATACAATTTTCTGCATGTTTCACCAATTGTGTTAGCCCTGATAAAGAGGTCACAAAGAAATTGAGAAAGCATTTTCAATTTGAAGTTCAGTTCTACTTTGCTTTAATGTTGCAGTTAAAATACTTTATGAATCGAATAAACTGCAAATACTGATCGAGTGTTATTGATATTCACAACAAAACTTTAGGTCTGTGGATACAGCAACTGAAGTAATTAAGGGGAATATTACAAGACATACACACTTCACATAAAACTATACTGACACAGATTTCGACAAACTTAAGAATTCAGTCAAAGATACTACTATCCAAGTTGGTTCACAATGTAGGAAAAGAGAATCCAGTAAACACTAGTTAGTACGTTTTCAGGCAAATAACTTTAAAGATAGAAGGTGGGAGCACTATGGTGGAGGCATAGTATTACAAGTTGTCAGACAAGTAAACAATTAGCTATAGTCAGTGAAGAGTCCTTTGGATGGCAAATAATCAGCGATTTTTGAATAGCCATAGCGTGTTCTTTTTTAGATTTTTTTCAAAAAAGACCCATTAATCCACGTTTTAAAAAAAGTATATTTTTAACAGACCCATCTGCCTTGCAATAATCTCATTTACAAAGCAGAAAATAATTAATATGAAAGTGAATGCATAAAACCAGCAAAGTAAGCGAAGAATATTTTAAGAAAACCGATATTACTGAAATATCATTAACGTGTGACCGAAGTAAATGTTAAAAATACACCAATTCTTTACAATGGTTGATTCTTTATTCTGCATAAAACGAGAAATGTTTGTTTTAAAAGGTGATAAATAATCATAAAGTATATATAAAAAACCTTCACTCAAAAAACCCTTACTAAGTTGATTTAACAGACTTATAAAATAAACAACACATTCATGCATACACTCCACATTTTGTAGGCAAAAATATAATCACAGTCATCGCTTAAATCATTTACAAGTACAAGTGGTTGACTACTAAATAATTTAAACGTGTGTAACTAGGCCAACAAAAAAAGCACATTTTGAAGCTTGATGAAAGACAGAACAACCGGCAAACTCCCAGAGAATTTAAGAAACGTCAGTTAAAAAACGTAATCAAGGTAAAATAAGATATCTGACAGCGCAGACAAAATCAATAGCGAAAAGAATAACCAAAGATGAACCGGTAGGGTTAGATTCAGAACCAGTTATATGAAATAACATAAATCAGTAGTACAAATTAGAGTACATAATTAAAGAAAGAAATAATTAGGGCTGAGAATGCTCATTTGAAATAATTTTGAATATAATTCACCTAGAAATCGAATATTATACAAAACTCCAATAAACCTCTATACTACTATACTAAAAAGTAGTATAAGTAAGGGAACTTTATTAGGTAGACAAATACTATACAAAAGACAACGAAAAACGACAAGGATCATAATGATTAATTTCATAGAATAAACTGGGGTGAAGATGGTATTAAAGAGATTGAATACAACTATGTACAATAATGAAAGTGGAAAGTGAAGGAGAATTATCCGGAAGGGTTATTGATTTAGGTAATATGGAATGATGAGAAATTAACTGGAAATAATAATGATAATTTACGAACAAATAAGGAAGGAAGTGAAGAACAAAAGGGAACGGAGCTATAAAAAATCAAAAGATGCCTTTTCGACATGGACTGACAACTACAATGCATACGTGTTTAAATATCTTTAACAGATAATAAATTCATGCGTTCAGATGAACAGTTATATTTACCACAATGATTGGTATTATCATGGTGATGATGATGTGTTAATCCATTCATTAAAACATTCGAATTGATAAATGATTTAGGATAATGTCCAATAACAGATAAATGTAAACCCATAGCTTGAGTATGATATTCATATTCTTCTTTTTCAATTTGTATAGTTAAATGAGATATAGATGTGAAATGATATTGAATTAATTCTTTAATCTATTACACGAATGAAAAAGAATAAAGTAGGTAAAATTTTGTTTAGTAAGCTAAATGCTAATAAAACATAATTATTAATGAACAAAAAACAAGTTACTATTGCAACTAATGTTGGATCCTAAGTTTTGTGACTTTAAGAAAACGGTTAATAAAAAATTGGACGTTGAAATCCAATTTGAAAAAATTTTATACCCAAACAGCAGAACTAGTAACTTCATCAAAAGATGATGTCGAGAGATTTAAATCAACACTAATAGACTGTTGCCTTAGACACCTAAACAATGAATACAGTTCAAAAGGAATTTTGACGAAAAAATATAAAGAAGCTTTAAGCAAATAGATGATAATTTGTTAATTACGAAACCAGACAAAGGTTATGGTGTAGTACTCATGGATGAAAACGACCGTTTAAACAGGATGAAAGCCGTTTTAAGTGATAGGAGTAAAGAATGATGTGACAGACAGAATTTAAAAACAGCTATGAAAATCATTGAAACATTAAAAAAGATTTTATTTCAGAAAACATGTTCGAAATGTTAGACCTACGGGAATAAAATTCACTCACAAATACATAAATAGGATGAAAAGAGAACTAAATATATCTACTATTATTTATTTATTTTAACACATAGATATTGCTACAATGAGGCACCAAATACATATGCACCACACAAACCTCATTTGATATTTGTGAGAGCTGTGATACTACTCGAGTGCCCAAACCGAATCAGGTGCTTTTCTTAGGGGGCCACACCCACAGCCTTCGACCTGAACGTCTGATACACAAGACAGTGGAGCAACGTAAAGAGATGCAGTCCAATGGTAGCCGGTGACCAACGATTGGTTCATATGCCATTTGTTCCTTTAGGATACTGGAAACCATGTACACCATTGGTTTGGAATCAGGGTTTTCCAACTCCCCTAGGTGGACTCTCCATGTCCACCGACCCGGTTAAAGCACTAGACATTCGCTTTTCGTCCTCTCAATTTGGTAAACAACACTCCAGCCACGAGAAGGCAGTGAGTAGGAATTCCCTGGCAGAGGCTATATACGCGTGGCCATGTGAGAGCGTTTCGAGAGGGAGAGTGGACTCTCCCCACTCTCGGCCTTACTAGGGTATTTGGGGGCTCTACTATTCCAGAGGAAGTATTGGTGTTAAAATTACTATTTCTAAATGATGCTACTGAAGAAATTGTAACTCAAAAGAAAGACGGTGCAGAAAACATTTACTGCAGCCAAACTGAATATGGTTTTCTACATCCCCCCGATAATAAAAACCATCAATGAAGATAAACTGCCTTAACTCGCCACATCCGTGTGTATTCGCCATTTCAACTACTGTAGAGCCAGTTATATAGAAAGTACAATTCGGCAAATCCCTCACTGCATAGCACATGGTTTACGAGTTCGTCTGTTGCATTTTGCTGAAGCTATCGGGATCCGTGTTCATAAACAATTTTGTGGCCCTTATATCTGGCTCCGGGTAGATCGTGTAAACGATTGTTATTGAAATACTCAGGTCGGCTATCCTCGTATATAATTATCGACTTAATCCGCTTTAGTCAATAACGGAATTAAATAAGTCAAATACGAGAATGAATTTCGAATACGTATATTTCATACAATCGTTCATCCAGACAAACGACCGGAGAAACGAAGCGAAATGACACACAGTGGAGAAAGAGTGTGATCCAACTCGATTTAATCAAGAGTTAATCGATATTTAAAGTCAGATAAAAATAAGTTACAGGCATGTGATGAATAGGATAAGCAATGAACACACATACGCTCATATAAAAAACAGTTAAGGTTGATAAGTGAAAAATTAACAAGGTCGAAAATGTGACTCAAGAAGAATGAATAAATTGGTGTGACCAGAAGCTAAAATAAGTATGTGGGCTTAACATAGTAACCGACACTACAACCTAACCTTTGCATCCAAAAGAAGTGTTTACAACTACTAACATGACCATCGGTATAGAAGTGAGGTTCTAGCTGAAGTTTGGTTAAACACCCTCCTTCAAAAATATTTAAACAATTCCGGTCTACTTGGGAATCGTTGGTATCTGTAATCTTGAGTAGAATGATGTTACCTATGATATCCAGAACGCTATCAAGGATGCTACCAACGATCTATTTACGCTGGCAGGAATCTTTTGTTGCACTTAGATGTTGACACTAGTAGATCAATAAAAGATTATGAATATCATATTCTCTAGTCTTTGGTGTAGAAATCGTTCAATAGAAAAAAAATTTCATAACATAACTTATAAAATCGTCAAGCATTTAGCCTTATCATTGCTTTTTAAGCAAGTACTTTTATTTTTGTTTGGGCATCACCTTTAGTTCCAGTTTGAAGAAAAGAGGAATAGGTGTTTTGTAGCACTTTTTCGCGATTAGGATATACCTTCCATTAGAACTAACTTTTTGAGTACGCCTATCTGATATGGTTAACGCTATAATCAAAATCACTAAGTGGTTTGTATGGGTTATTACACATGAGAAATTTATCACTGTTCGAGAAATTTTCGGGCTCTCATTTGAAATATTCCTAGTAATACTTATATCCCACTAAAAACGGTTGAACCGAATGAGTCACATTTGGAAGACCATAACTATAGAGAATAGTTGACAAAAATATGAAAATACTACAGAACGTATCTGCTATTTAAATACGTAAGCAGCACTGCGAACAAAACTATAACTACAACTTTCAAATCACAAGAAATATTAATTCTCTAAGTAAATAAAAGCATTGGAAACTACCTTTCGTAATAATACTTGTTCTGAGGCACTAGACTGAATTCGAACCGTTACACAAACACATACAGATTTATGCATATGAGTCCAAATAAATGGATTTGAAACAGAAACAACTTCATCCACTTGCAATATCTGAAAAAGTTGATTAAAACAATAAAACATATGAGCAACCAAATTAGTGAATGCATCTAAACCATTGTGAATGATCCTAAGTGATGTAGCTCAAAATCTATGACGGACTATCGTGGTAAGCACGCAGAATCCAACCAAGTAATCTGTATTTATCAGCACGCCTCAGACCAACAGTTAATGACCTCACAGACTGAAGCCATGTTTGGGTTTAGCCAACCTCAACTTTTTTCTAACCTACTACCACACCGTACAACATCGTGAGTCAAGGTATGCGGCGATTAGATGTAAGTAACATATGTTCTAATCACGTCAATCGATGAAGGTTCATTACTTTAACTTACCTATGCCTAAATAAATATACAACAAATAAAAATTAGTTGTTCATTACAATTCTTATGATAACCTGTTACAATTTGATGAAAAAGTGATTTAGTTCATTTTCGTTCAACTCATTCCACTAAAAAGGTGGAATAAAAATGTGATAATTAAGCGTCCGATTGTTATTGAAACTAATATTTTGGACATTATTAGTCAACATGATTTCTCTGCGATTGTCATGAAAGAACTTTTGTCCTTTCTTGCAAAATTGATGCCATGAGGGATTGAGACCAGTCAGATGGAATTACGTCCAGTCCTCAGATCCTAGCTAAGATCTCAGTCAAGCTAACTGTTAAAACTAAACCACCATTCTTAGAGATTTTCAGGGCTCACGCATCTGAAACCAATGTTTTCTCTCACTCCAAATTACCTATAACCATTTCAAACTAACAGTCGGAAAACTTATGCAAATTTGCCATTTAGGTTGTTGAAAGGTGGATAATTAGAGGGTAACCTAAGACCGGTTGAACTGTTCATCAAAGTGTTCTGTATATCAATTCAATCTCTTGGATTGAACGGGAATAACAGTCTCATCTCTTTCAGTGATAGTTTCACTAACAGGGGATTTTGATACCTATTCTGAATAATTGTCTACTGTTACCGACAGACACTACCTTTTCTATTTATTTTGTTTTCGTTGCCCACCACTGCCCATAATGATTGTGTAGACTTTTATCGGTATGGATTGAATTGAATAAATTAAGGAAGTTTAAAAAATTTGTGAATCATAAAATAGAATGATAAATCAAAACGATCAAATAAACTCTTTCTATGCATTTAGATAACTTGACGATAAGATAATTTGAAGTACGTATACTATTATAAGAGTTGTCATTTGTTTAAGTACATAACATTTTTAATTAGTAATTTTTAAAGACCTAACAATTAGTCCATTCACAATGACACAAATTACTCACAGATAATTTACTCTTACACAAGTAACAGATTCAAGTTGGTTACATTTTATAACAGTGAATAAAAGAAGTATATAAAAGAATCTAAGTCTATAGAAAATATATGATGAATAGTGAAATAAAAAATAGAAATAAACATAAATATAAGCAAATATAAATAATAGATAACTTACTTTCTTAACCATTAATTGAGAATGAAATTCATCAGGTACTTTTAAAGTAAGCAAACAAAGGGTATCATTGAGCAAAGGCATAGCTGAATAGCCAATTACACATGCAATAAACATTGAACATATCGGGTCAGCTACATTCCAACCATAATTGGTTACCAGAAATGAACTGAATATTACACTTACACTACCCAAAGTATCAGCAAGCACATGTAAATACACACCTATGCAAAAAATGAAACAATATAAAAATGAAGTATGAAACTAACCAATTGTATTTCATTTGAAAATATAAACTTTTGATAACGATTAACAAAATTTGTATCAACATGGCACTATTCATTTATCGAGCACAGATCTACGTACAAAAATTTGGGTTACAATGTATGTGAGAACTAAAGATACTACACAGCTCAGTTAGTCAGTCAGTAACAGCGTAGGACTTCGTACGTACGTACGTACATCAGTTCGAGTTACCACACCACATTAACACAGAGATGCAGTTGTCGATTCAAATCCCGTAGTGGTAGGAACGCTAAGAGTATAAGCAGTAATCGGAAAGACTAGGGTTTGAAGATGTTATTCAATGAGTACAATACAGTGAAATAAATTTGGAAAGAGAAAAAAGGGACATGAAGAATTCAGAAGATTAGAATTTAAGAGAACACAAATTGGCAAAAGCTAGTCGAGCCATCTATTTACGTGCTGGGATTTCGTCACACACCAGATCATAAGGGATGATGAGACTTCCAAGATAAGTGAAGCAGTCGACACGCTCAATTACTTCACTCCCTATCATTAGTTCGAGTGCCGATGTAACCCAATCCTGAAGCAACATTTTGCATTTCGAGAGAGAGAATCACATGCCGAATGTGCTAGCATTGTTGCTTATAGTGGTCAGAAGACTCTGCGTTTTGTCAGTGTCTTCACCAAACAGGACTATGTCATCGGCATATTCTAAGTCAACAAGTGAATCTCCCGGTAGAAGTCCAACCCCTGGAAATCTAGACGAGGAAAGTGTTATCTCAAAAAGTACGTCAATGACAAAGTTGAACAAGAATGGAGAGAATGAACAGCCCTGACGAACACCACTTGAGGTAATCAATTCTGATGACAGTTCGCCATAAGCTCTCACTCTACCAGTTGTGTTCGAGTAGAGAGCCTGTATAAGGTTAATGTAATTCTTTGGTACTCCCTTCAGTGATAAACACTGCCACAGAACCTCACGATCAAAACAGAGTCAAATGCCGCCTTAAGGTCGAGAAATACTACTATTGTGGGGCGTCTGAATGTGTGTCTATGTTCTAGGACCTGACGTAGTGTGAATATCTGGTCTATACAACCCCCTCCAGGTCGAAAACTACACAGCTACACCAAACCGAAGTAGGTGGGGGTGAGTCGAAACGTATTTGAAATTCTACGTGACACATTTAGAGCTATTTTATGAAAACTGACTCAGTACAGATTAGAAAAGTATGAACTATTTCACAAATTAACATTGCTTTCTGTTTTCATAGTTGCTTCTAATACAAAATGGTAAATCTTGAAACCTGACTTTTTTGGAAATCACTCAGCGGATCTCTTGTATGATAAAGGCCGAAAATAAAGGATAACGGTAAAATAACATGTTTTTAATGTTACATTATATCATAGATTTAAAGAATAATAGGCTGTGAAATGGATTGGTTAATAATAGTCAAGCAGATGGGTACCAAGTTTGAGCTTGCATCGAGCACGCTATTGTCAAAACAACTAACAGTTACATTAAGTTAATTTGAAAAAGATTTACTTAAATACTTATAAATATCACATATTATAGACTAGTATAATTCTGTATTAAGTCATCCATTAAACATAGTACACATAAATATTATATTATTAAGCAAATAAACAATGGAATCCTATTTCTCTAAGGCCACAACTTCGACGTAGAAATGGATTTCACTGATAAGATATTTTAAGTTTTAATCATGCTATTCGTATGAACATTTTTCCAGCACCTAACTAAGCCATCGGTGAACCTGCGGTTTTACCAGACAACAACTCGGTACTTAATTTGTTAAATATTTGTATGACAATTCGACTACATTTAAATATTATTAAATTAGCATATAACAATACGAACAAATAAATATCCTTTAAATGGGTTAGAACCTCTTAATATATAGCAAAGTTAGAACAGTTTTCGGTACATTTCGAAAGTACATCATATAACTACACATTTGGAGCTCTTCCACAACAGTCTGACTGCAACACGAAATACATAACTGCACTATTCAAAGTTATGAACATGAGAAAAGTTGAAAACTTATCAAAATATACCTCGTAGGTTAGCATCTCCTGCTTCATCTTTCTGTGATTTGTGCGATCCACAGTGATGCTGATGACCGTGTGTATGACCATAATGAAGTTCTTCATTATGAGCTTCAACAGCATGTTTGAGATCATGGTGATGAGAATGAGATCTATTTGAACTGTGGCTATGATTCCGGCTATGGCTGTGACCATGCTCGTGATTATGACAATGTTCACTAGAACTGCCTCCATGATTATGACCGTGGGAACCACTATGACTGTGACCATGTCCACCATGACTATGACCATGGCCTCCATGACTGTGAGCATGACCAAGAGCGACAACACCAACAATATTTACAAGCAAACCTAAAATAGATACAGCCTAAAATAGAAAAGTTGAAAATTTGGGTACAGAAACAAAGAAATTGTTCAATATATTATTCAACAGAAATTTTATCATTAGCCTTGAATAACGAACAACAACAGGGATACTAGAACTCAAGATCTACATGAAGACAAAGAGTAAAATATATCCGTCCCGCTGTAACTGATTTTACACGTTACTAGATGTTTTCAAATATTGGTCGAGACGATCATGTGGACCCCAGACAAGTAATCTGCATCTATTAAGATGACTCAGTCCAACAGTCAATAACTTCATGGACTGATCCAACGTCTTTTTAACATCCCTATATATGTGGTGTATTCTACTTAAGCTGACAGATATAAGTAGTATGTATCAGCAATCGGGAGCGGAATGCCTGGTAGTAAGAGATTGCAATGAAGAGAACAGAAAGAAAATCTGAGAACAGTCGAAATAACAACAGTATTAGAGGAATAATGTAGTGTGTAAAGGAAAACGCAAAGAAAAAGTGCAAATAATATGTGTTAAGCAAGGTGCGTTAAACAATAAATTGGTTACCCCTACCAAGTCTTCGTTCGCCTGATATATAATTTTTTTGAAATGAATGGACCCATGCATATTGTTAATGAGTTGAAGTGTAAATAAGAAGATAAAAGATCTACTAACGTTACATTATACTGATGTAATTTGGTGGATTCATATTTATCACTGATTGAAGTGATTCACAATTGTTCTTATCAGTAAGTAATGACAGTAAGACCGTAAATACCAACAACTTTAAAAACACATTGAAATGTATATGTTTGTTAAGTGGCAGCTCAATAAAAATATGCTTCTGTTAAGATCTCCATATCTTTCCGATTTTTTTCTACTACAACAATCGTCAATCATATACAAATAAATGGAGGTAGAGAAAAAGCTTATCACTAGTTTTCTACGCATACACCCAAATGTTGAGTAATGAAAAATCAATTATGTAATAGCATAGCATAGCATCAAGAAAGATAAAAATAGATTAATAAACTTACCAATAATTTATCAGTTTTAATGTCTGGTGGTTGATGAATACGTACAATTGAATTGATAAACACTGATCCAGATATAACCAACAGGAACAGTGCATTGACAAGTCCAGATAGAATCTCTGCACTGTTATATCTGAATAAGTATACGGAAAAAAACAAATTCTGTAGTTCTTTGAAAGAGTTAATTGAAGCGCAAAAATAATCATACGATAACGTAAAGCGTGAATATTAGTAAAAAGGTGGCTTACATAATTAGTGGCAAAAAATGACTTATTGAACGGTTGTAGTATTATCCTCAGTAATACAATCGTGACGGGAAGTTTGATTTCGTGACAGTATTATAGAGTCTAGCACTAGATAGAACCCATATCGGTTATTCTAGATTCCAAATAGACCAAATTATTCATTCTTCTTGATCCATATTTACACCTTGTCAGTTATTCACTTACTAACCTTGACTCCTTTTATATGACCGTATGTGTTAATTACTTATCCTATTCATCACATGTCTTCAGCTCATTTTTGTTTGGATATAAATATTGAGTCACGCTTGATCAAAGGAAGTTGACATGTCTACCTTCTCCGATCTAATTCTCCGCTCCGTTTCTCTGATTGTCCGCCTGGATCAACGAGTGAATGAAATATACGTATTCCAAATTCATTCTCGTATTTGACTTATTTAGTTCCGTTTTTCCCTAACGTGAATTAAGTTGATAATTATGTACGAGGGCATCTGGGGTGTATATTTCGTCAACATCATTATACGATCAAACTAGAGTCAGATCAACGGACCACAAAAGTATGTTAAACAATTCTTTAGTTACATTTTAGTGACCAAAATCTTCAACTTTAACGACCGTATAAAACACACTGAGCTATTATGCAGTGTCCTACGGTTCGCTTCTAATCACATACCGACTAGATAATTATTCCGTTAGAACCGTCAGTATCTACTCAGATTATTCGCGAGCAAGAGATTAAGATTTCTGAAGAAAAGCACCTAGCCCTAACCCGTTGAGTATAGTGAGATGGCAATCATAACATAGATCAAAACAAACCAAACTAAATTAGAACTTGATGAAATTAAACAGATTTCTTCCAAAACGCTTAAAAGTCCCAAAGAGTAACAATACTTTTTGATAAACCCTTTAGACGACATCGTACATTGACGGAGTCACATCTAAAAAATAGCAAAATTTAAACTTCAACATCTAAAACTAACTATCTGGTCAGTCGTAGGTATCATTACCAAGGTTTGATTCGATAATTTCGAATAAATTGAGCATTGTGTAGATCGTTATAAATATTATGTCATAATATTCGTGTTATTCCGTTGTACTATTTAGAATTGGATTAATTTTAGTTTGTTTATTTGTTCTCTGAAGAAGTAAGTTACACGAAGTCACGAAACGTCTGAAAATCTAATTTCTCTACTCATTGGGATATTACACATATATTATTTATTTATATCTGGTCACTCAGTCATATGCAATGTAGGACCTGACACATGTGTACATCGGTTCAAGTTTTCATGACACATTAGTACAGCGAAATAAAATCATCAAGGTATACTACAGAGCAGTAGCAGGAGTAACAGTATTGGTGATAATAGAAAGATTAAGCACGAAAAACATGATTTGGGGAAACATGGATTTATGGAATTAAAAACTTTATAACGTAATTTATAAGCTTAGGATCTAAGGGAAAACAAAAAGTAAATGCATTTTTGCCACTGTGAACGATTCCGAGCAAAGTTACTCTAAGTCGCTAGCCAGTGATTGAGGGCTCAAATCAGGTAGCCTGTATCTACCTACATGGCTCAGTCTAATATTCGATGACTTTACGGACAAATGACACATCTTGGTTTGACCACCCTTCGCTTTTGTCTCACCTAATCTTATGACATCATCCATTACGATAGACAGTGGGTGAGCATACGCGATACATGTCCCAACTGTCTTGATCACTATCTCATCAATTGATTTCCTATTCGTACCTGGTACATTGCGTCTTACCTATTAACTAGGTGATCCCGACATGCACGATCAATGTTTAGAAGACATATGCGATCTAAAACTAGTGTCTTACGAATATACTCTACTCTTAATGGTTTTCTCACAGCGGTAAAAGTAGAACGGAGAGAACTGGTGCACAGTATACTCGTCCTAATCGCCTGCACCAAAATGAGGGCGATTCGGAAAAGGCTAATCGAGCTTTTTGAATTCATGCCAAGATTTCATCGGACACTAAACCATCAGGAGTGATAAGATTTCTATGATAAGAGAAGTGATCAATGGACTCGATTAATTTACTCCCCATCCTTAGTTCGGGTGTTGAAGTAGACTAATTCTGAAGCAACATATGAAGTACACATCCCTTCTAGCAACATCCAACTTCACATTAACACCTTTTTAAACAATAAGCAACTGTAAACTATATGAAAACATTGCATAAGACTTACCCAAATGAGAATATACGTGTCGGTTTCCAGTGTGAAACTACAGCAGCATATAACCCTACTACAAGTGCTGCTGAATCGAATAACATATGAAAACCGTCAGAAATTAAACCTAAACTATTTGTCCATACACCATAAAAAAGTTCCACAAATGTAAAAGCCTGAAATTGAAATAAAATCTCATCTGTTAGAATGAACGCTAATGTATGCACTCATAAGAATAGCTAAAACTCTGTCTTCTCATTGTTCTATCAAAATTGTCCATGATTTCTCTAAATGGTTGATAAATTTGTTCGATTTCAATGTGCTTACAAATTGCTAATTGACCTGAATGTCAAGCTTTTAAGGCTTCTCCGATCATTTTAGTATTTCTTCTATCTAAAATCTCAACATTTTTTTCCATTCCATCAAATTCTAAGCACTCTTCAGTCGATCCTTTTCGACAACGAATAAGTCATCCACATAATGAATCTACATTTTAAACTTGATCACTGCTAGAGTCAATACTTCCAGTCTCTGCAAAGACTATCCCAACTACTGCCTTATAAATACCAGTATAGTTAAAGATCGTTTATTTGAGAAAAAACAATATTTCGCGATTCAGTCAGTTAGTGAGAAGATTTAAGTTTTCATTACAACGCGATCAAATGATATCATCAACATGAATCACCTATTGATATCCGACAAATCTCAAAAATCTCTCCAATTCCAGCATAATGATAACCTTTTCCAATTCGCAATTCATGTGAATCAAGACAAAACGAATGTTTAAACAATTCGTATTAGGTGGATCTACCACATATAAAGCATTTTAATGTAAACAGGAATCCGTATTGTAGATGTAATATGAAATACAGAAAATTTTAAAAAGAATGCAGCTGCACTAAGTACCCCATTTGAGGAAGTGTTGAGGATAGATTATCACTATTAACTGCTTTAATATATATTAGCAAGCTCACTTGTTCTTTTACAGTAGATTATACAGAGCGTGCACTTTCCAAACAAGTATCCCAGCACTACTCTTCATGGCCATCTAAAACAGGATGCACGTCAGTCAACACCTCAATTCCTGAACACATGGTTAACTCTAGTAACGCATAGCTATCGAGATCATTTTTTAGGATCACCTACAAAGTCGAAAAAATGAGCTCAAGGGGTACTTCTGATAAAAAAATTGTGCGCAGTTGAGAGATTACCCATTCAACAAATTTTCCTTGATTAATCATTTCATTTTGTTTATGTGATATGACTCCAGAAATATAAAATGTTTTGATGTTACAGCAATTGGAATCGAGAACAATAATAAACAATTATTCAGATCAAAATAGTTTGATATTTGATCGTATTCATGACTATTCGAGTCAATTACTGAGACAGTGTCAAAATATGTAATGAAGTGAAAAAAAATCACTAAATACAACTGATTTCTAATGCATCAACTAGTGGCTGTAATAATTAAAGTGCTAATGTTAAATATTTATAATTCACAAATTATAAGGTCTGAAAATAGACAAACGCTAAATGGTGGGTTAGGAACAGTAGTCAATTGTACAACATACAAAAAAAGCAAAATTCTTACTAGATTTAAACACAAGAACGCGAAAATGCGACGTGAAGCTTGTCCAGTTAATATGCCATGAAACGTAGCTCGTAAATGATACCATAGACCAAATTCTTCTGAATTCGCTAATAAGGCAGTACCGTGTGTAGGCGTTTGTCCAGCAGTAAATAAAGGTAAACCAGCCATTGAATAACCAATAAAATGACCACTTGAAATGCCTTCTGGACCATGACCAGATTTATCTGCAGTTAAAAGATCTGAAGCTTTATTCAAATAAAAAAGTGAAATTAGGAAGGTAGATTTTTATTAAGAACAATAAGTTACAAATTATTTGTAAAACCAGACAACTTATCTTAACAATTTCATCGTAAATAAACATATGATAAAAAAATATCAGAGACTACTACAATTTCATGAACTTTCTTTCGAAAAGAATAGAAACTTATTCCGTCATATTATCTCATAATAACTTAAAAAGGATTAGTAGTTGTTTGAACTACATTCTCTATAGAGGTACTTTTAATGGCTGATCATGATTATACTAATGTTAACAATGTGTTCATCAATTTGACAAAGTGTAACTAGCTAAAAAAAGGTCTTCTCTACAAAATCTAACCATATTGTTAGTTAAAGATTTTCCAAAATCAACTAGACTTGATTACTCTGCAAGCATTTCACTGGAAAAAAAGAACGAAATGACTGATTCAACTAAAGTAAGGTCAAATTTATTACTATAAATCAGTGAACAAGTACAGATTTAACCAGTTGGTTTACATACGCACTTAGTCTTGTAGTTCTAATGATAGTACTTGTTAGCCCATATTAATTAGAGTAGCGCATCATATGAAGTGAAGTGCTTTAAACTCCGATGCGGAAGTAAAATCACTATCAAAGATGAAATGTTTCTACAAACAGTGATGTATACAAACTTTACAAGATTGATGTATATTAGAAAAACTGACGATTGATTACGTCATGTCTTTTTACGCGGTTTTTTGAAGCGGATTTATGAAGATATTCTATGTGCGCAATTATTGTCCTGTGAAGTATCAACCTAATGTTTAATTTAATTTAAACAAGATTAGAATTTGAAACCTATATGTATAGATCGTAATGGTAGTTCTTAATTAATGATAAACAATAATAAAAAATCAATTAAAGGATGATTACAATCCATACTGAAGTCATACAGTGAAATCTATTCGTTAGGTTTTTCTTCAGTAAAATATGATAATCTGGCTTAGTTTAGTTAATTGTTAGAAGATTAAGAGTAAGATTACGTATTAACTCAATGTGACAGTTCATTCAGTACAAAACCCATTTTTATAATATTTGTTGTACGTATTCAGTGTAGTATTTCGTTGTGTATTAATCCAGCATGAACTACGCTAATAAATAATCAATACAAGTAAATATTGTACATAAATGAAAGTATTTGTAACTAATAGACGAGGAATCGTTTAGTTTTAAATTACAAAATCAATCTTCAACCACCAAGATTCTTTGTCGTTTCCCTTGCACTAATCCGTGTCAATCTTAGCTCAAGTTATAACAACAGACAAGATAAACTTGTCCTGAGCTCAAAGAGAGACAGTTATCACTTGGTGACAGAAAATAATCCTACAGGGAGTCGGTCTCAGACTTAGTGGAACATCAATGACAAATGTCAAATCTATAATACCCAGATACGGAAAATCTGAGTTGAGAAATGTACCATTTCCCAAGACTAGGCTAAAATCAGTCTAAACAAACAATGTTTAGAATACCGTTGTGATATTTTAAACTTCATGCACGCAGTTGAACTTGGAGTACCGAAATCTCCATGTTTAATTACTAGTTTTCAAGAACAAACTGAAAGTTTTTTACAGTAACATTGTCGGTTGAAATGGTAATAAAACGTTTACTTTCTTTTATCTTTCTAACTGTTTTGGAGGATGAGTCAAGGAGTTATTGAGAGTATGGTACAAGTTCGATACTTGCATTCCCTATTGTGTAGTTAGTTCGAGTTATGTAGTTCCAGCCAGGTCATAACAATGAGATTAGATAAAAACCACAAAACAAGTATAGCAGTAGATACTAAATATGAGGAATACAGTGGCTTACCATATAAAATACAAACGACCGAAACAATTACTCCAACAGACATTTGATGTTTAAGTAGGAAACTGTTTACAAGAATCTCATTACGATCGACTGAAACAAATTGTTCTACGGAATCTGAAGATGACCAGAAAAGGCTAAAAATGGTATTAGATGAGATATGTAATGTTTGCTTTTGAATTATCGACAATGAAACTTAGTAATTCAAGTAAACAGAAAGTGATTATAAATAAGCAATACTCTAATAAGGAAAATCAATGCCAAAAACCGATTCAAAGATGGCCTAAGTTAGAAGTTAACGACGAAGAAACAGATCCATAATGTATTAACAAAAAGAAATTAGAATTTGTGCTAATAAATTATGTAATCAATATATCAATTAGATATGCTTTTAAAACAAGCGAGAAAGAGTTTTACATCCAAGTACATTAAAATACCTTAAAAAATATTTTGAAATTAATAATAAATGTAACTTATTTCAATCAGTTATGTTTTATACAATTTTTCGTCATTATGTAACTTACACCTGACGTGAACCTGACACAAAGGAACAGCTTAACTAGAATGTTAACAAATCTTTAATATAAAGATAATTTGTTTCACTTAATAATCCGTTTAACATGGTATTTTTTCAATAACAATAAACGTTTACATCTAGATTTAATCAATTTTGTAACTGAAAGACCAATAGCTAGTAATAGTTCAAATGTATAGAAATAAGAAATAAGGAATTACGACAATTTGATCAAATAAAACGTCTTTGAAATTCTGTTGCTTCTTTTTCTTCTTGTAAACAGTTAGAAAACGAAACTCTCTCAAGAAAAATTTTCCCAAAAGTCTACTGGTTCTGTAAGTTTAAAGGTAATAAAGTAAAATCTTGTTTAAAAACTAACAAGATTTCAAACATTTTCAATTACTATCTCTTATTCAGTATATTTGGATTTGTAACTAAAGAACAGTATGGAGTATACATATAACAACAGAGACTGATCATTTACAGTCGTGAATATTAACAATAGGAAAATACAAAGCCTTGATAATATTTTCTTTTTTCCCTAATTTTAAAAGGACAATAATCGTCCATATGTTGATTAATGAGGAGTATTTGAGATCTTAATCTTTCAGATGCTATAAGTAAAACTTTTTGGTTGTTTGATGACTTTTTATGTATTTCAAAATGATTAGACAGCATCACGATATCCACATCCTCTTTGGTAATGATTCACCGATCTAGCCAATTGAAATCTAACCACAATTGAGGTCATCTAATTGAGGGGTAATAACGCAATACTAGTGACATACAAAGCTATCAGATCGTTTGACCTTTATGTAGCGCATTTAAGTTCATTCAAACTTTGATCTAATTAGGAGATCATTATTGAAATAACGAACCGATCTAAGTTTGACAAACACTGGAAACCTAGTTACTGCGTGACCGTTTCGTTCTAGTATGGTACTCCTCAGCAGTACGCATCTACGACCATTGGGTCTCATGTCAGTGATCTAGAGGTCAAGAATTCACGCGCGATACCAAGGATCCAGGGTTCGATTCTCAGGCGTGGAGTCATGGATACGTACTGATGAAAAGTGCCGCACTGGACGAAACGACCAACCAGTGCTTTCAGGTTTTTAATGATGATTTAAATAAGATCGGTTCGGGATTCCAACGAAATTCAACGATTTCTACTACAACACAAACTGATAAAAGATTCTCATTTCAACAACTGGTCCAAATGAAGCCATGGTCCAATCTTTTCACTGACACATTTAGAGTAGATAAAGAAAAGCACGAACAACCTCACAAGTTTTGTGTCAGTAGAACAAAGGTTTGGGAAAATTCCAATACGTAGTTTGGCTCATAAGTTTTACTTGAATTAGTTTCGAAAGACTCACAAAGCTTTATGAACGAAATATGAAGGTCGGAAATCGCAACATTTTAAAGTGTCTATAGTCGGCAAACAAAATATAAACTTAAACGCATACTATGGATCATGAAAATGCTTCGCAATGAATATTATGAAGGTTAAAACAAAAATAGAAACTAATCGGACAACCTGAATATTAGGCTAGTTATAACGACAGTTAGTTTAGCAAGACGAGTCACTGATTGAGAACCAAGTCGCCCGCTGACCAGACTGGTCATATAGAAATCGATTACATGCATGGTACTTATATAAACCATCCAAAATAGCCAATCTCTTTGTGGGATATTTCCAGATGATTCATGAGAAGGCATTTGATCGTTAACATTTTCTACCATCTTCAAAAGATTTAATTGTTCCTGTGGGAAAAACAAAATAAAAACGAAGAACAACCACGTATTATTTTTAGTTCTACTCACAGTACATATATAATGTATCTTAAAAGGTAAGTAGTTGAGAAGCAATAAAAATTGGTGCTCAATGTATTTGTCTGTTCATAAACATTTAGGCATGCAACGTGATAACTATTAAGCTTCCTTGTTGGAGTTCATATTTCGTTCATCAACAACTACTAAAGCTGACGAGACAACTAAGGTGAGCGAGTTTGTCAACGCAGTTAATTATTTGGCTTAAAGTGGGACTAGACTTCGACAAATGTTACACTTCATAAATGAGAAAAACATTATGCCACAAGATATCCTTCGAAACTTGGCGTCATGACGGTGTCATTGTCTAATAAAGCATTTATCTGAATACTTAGAACCGATTAAAGTATCGGATTCGTTTAAAACAAGACGCATTGCCGACCTATTCTCTCAACAAGTGCAATTATTTATCTTTTTGAACTTTATCGGCACAAGCTACTGAATTTCTTAAGACGATGAATATAACTCAATTTTAAGAGTTTGAATCTTCCCGTTATTGGTATAAAGGACGGCAATTGACCAGTTTCCTTTAGGGTATGTGCATCATGAGCGGCTCGCTTCAACGTTGCCACTAATCGCAAACACAGTTGGGTAGTGGCTCGAAGTGTAATCCAAGATGTGCATTTCATTCTACTTGAAACTCAACGGCTGACTGTCTCCCTATTGCAGTGTTGATGTTCACTCCGCGACACCAAGAATTGGAAGATTCAAACCCATAAAACTGGATTATAATTCATACCCGTTGTACGTGCCAGTGGCTATCTGCATTCAGTAGATAAGTGGATAACACGTTAGTGTGTGAAGTAAAAAGCACTGATTTCGAGTTCTGGAGTAAATATTAAAACTACGATACTGCTACATTCAGCCGGATAGTTCCGAATGGGATAAAAAAACAGCTCCAAGATCCCTCTGCTAGCCACCACCCAACCCTGATTACGTAACGGATAAATTGTGAAAGCGACACTGTGCTTAGATAAAAATCAAGACCACATAAATTCATTCGTAAAGTATGATAGATTACTCGTATTGTCGTTTCACAAACTTCCTGTCAGCTGTAGATTTCAGTGGAATGATCTATTATAAGTATTGCGATAAATTATTTGAATGAACTGTGCATTTTTAAAATTTATATATATCCCGTTGATGAATGTTCAACAAATTTTATAAAGTGAAAGCGACTTTCTGAATGTACTTCAAAGTGGATCACGAGGTTAAAACGACTACCTTAGCATTAAACACTGAGTCCATCAAAATTAAGTCGTTTTGTATAAAACTTTGACTAATTAACAATCAAAACTCGGTGCACTGAGCTAACCAGAAAAAATTAGAAAAAGTGGAGGAAATTAAACAGAAGACACTTACAATAAACCCTTTCTACTGGAGCTTTTCCGTGTAAAAAATGTTTCCGTAAAAGAGATAATGCTAGTTTTCGTATCCCCATGGAAATCAATGGATAGTATAAAATCATAAATCATTCTTCCTTTCGAACTTCAATGGGTCATGTGAACCACTGGCTCCCAATCATAATAGCACAAATTCCCTAAGCAGATGTTTTGTGTAGCTCAATAAAAATTAGTCCCTCACACATGTGGAAAATATACAAACCACGGAAAGCAATCAAAACAAATCTATTGGTATATGCTTTGTAAAAGCCATCATAAGATAAAGATAACGTTCGACAATATCTAGATACTCTGAGAGACTAGCAAACTCATACCTAATTACGAAACATTAAAACAATATGGAAGGATTTATGAAGGCAAACAAAGGAATTCAAAATATATACCCAATTACCTTTGTGTGAAAGGAGTTTTCATTGAAGAAGTGAGTAAGAAGAAAAAACGGAATCAATATGACGAAGCTGATTAACGCAGAAAGGCTGTATAAACGTTTGGCACCTCCGACAGATGTTACTAACGTCCTAGAAATTGAAGCTAGCCCGGCATCCAAGCAAACCGCACTAATTAGGACAACAACACCAACCTTTTGAATGGAAAGAAAATCGACCGGTGATAGTTTACAAGCTAGCTGACAAGCAAAACATCCTGCTACTGTTACATTTTTATGAATATTTGTCGCCCTTGTCAAAGGCAATCTTATAGATTAACAACTGGCCATATCAACTCACTACCTGATAGTGCGCGGTTTGAGACAGTCATATTAAACAATAAAATGCCCACGTGGCCTATGTTCACAACCAATAAAACTCCCCAACTATGAGAATAAGGGATATATCAGATAAGGGGATCAGGTATCTGTTAAAATGATTCCTATTCGTGTATTTCATTAGAATCAACTACCAATAACTCACCAAATGTATGCAGTTTTATACATGTCGTCAATACCATCAAAGAAATAAGCTAAAGTCATCTCTCCTAAGGTAGAAGTGATATTTAGTCTGTTTAACAGAAATGACTTAGTGGTTAAGGCGTTTGGGCTCCAGTCATTCTCAGGTTTGGACCCCGTCCAGTCTACTATGGTTCGGACAGCTGGACAGTATCATTAGCTTTCACACTTAAAGTGTAGTTCATACCCAAGTACTTGACGAATGAGTTAATTTATTTTTATTTATTTGTTTGCGTTAGAATCAATTGCAATGGAGTAAATGATTCCACTTTGTCTTCTCTTAGGTAACTGGTTTTCAAGAATAATTTCCATTTTTTATTTCGCGAATTATAACTTCCTTTTGGGTCACAGTGTTGGTGCTGAGTCTTTTTTACTATCACTGATGATACTGTTAGTTCCATTACTTTATCTTGACCACTCCATTTCGGTGTGCATCACTTTTGAAGCGTCGATACTATGCCAATTGGTACAAGAAACCCACACTAAATATAAACGAAACGCCAAAATAAACCCAACGTTTATAAGCTGATTCACCAATAATAAGCAGAATACACCGACAGTTTTAGATTTCAGCACTAGTCCTCACTAGTTTGATTAATCCAACTAAGAACCTCGGGCAAACAAGTAAAAGTTAAGATTACTATTGAGTGGAATGATCTATTAATACGAATGGGTAAAAACGGAAACAAACACCGTCGAATAAATGTTTATGAAGATTAAGAAGACCAAGTAGACTTCAGCAGTAAAAAAGATACCCAGTTGAACTTTCGAACTATCAACCTAGTAATGGAGATAGCTGAAGTGAATAGTACACAAAATCGTAGCAATGATCTTGCTTTACAGTGATGACTATCAGGATATTCGTTTTAACTTTATTACATAAAATAAATCTCACATTAAAAGTGCACGTCACTTCTTTTAGAGAATTCACAACATGCAAGTAGAATAAGTCGCTTACCTTGTGATCTGAGAGTCCAAAGTTTACAAATAATTCATATAAATGATGGATTAGGAAACTTTTATGAACTCCTTCAGCTACACAATATTAGAGAAAAGAGTTAAAGGAAAATATCCACGTATATGTATACGCATAAATACAAGCAGCTTGCAAAAAATATCAATCACTCAAGGATCAAATGTTATGCTAAGAAATTGTCAGGACAGTGAGACTACCTGAAATCTCTTAATAAAACGATATAATGGAACCAATTATCGTGGAAACGCAGATATAATGTATCATTTGAGGACTATTCGGACTGAAATAAAGTGCCGTCTCATAGCTGTAAATATATTACATCTTTTCAGCCTAAACTACGATATCTATTCTATACTTTATGACAATCGTTTATGCCGAATTTTGAAATTTCTTCCAGTATTAAAGTTTAGCGCAGCACAGTACACTACTAAATTCGTCTGTATGCCGACTAACGGAATTGCATAAAATATTGACTGACACTCGCTCAATAAATTGACATCAACGTTGGCAACTAAATAGCAGCGCAAACTTAGCATCAACAAATAGTGAACGAAGTTTATATAATACATTCAATAACACAGGAGCTTGAACAAATAAAATGACTGACTGAGTTATTACAGCATTGAATTGTGTCCTTCGCACACACAAGAACTCGCATTTTGGAATAAAAGGTCACCTAACGTGAATGTCAACCGTGAAACAGTCAATTATCACAAGTCCTAATCAACGTAATGAGTTGCTTACCGAAACACTGATAACAAAATGTCAAAACAATCTTAAAGAAAGGATAAATATCATACCACTAGGTAAAAAAAGTAATGAAAAGGATACGATGCTCCGTCTCCCCATGACTATAATCATGGTCGAAAAATACCAAACACACTACACCAATTACAAAGAATACTGACCCTCGAGTCTACAAATGATCAAGTTTAAAGTTTAAGATACTAACTCTTTTAGTGCAATTGGACCCGAAGATAAATGTACCAACTGAAGCAAGAATTAGAAGTTCGCTGTGCTCGAACAACAAAATAAACCTGAAAATAAGAGCTCATTGTGAAGTTTTGTCACCTGAAGGGACCACAAAGAATAAGCCCTTCTATCCAAAAAGCATCAATAAGAAGCCGGACAAAAGAGAACTTTAAGATGTGAAACCACTAGAAATAAACAGCGAATAGCCAATGAACAGACCTCAGTAATCTTCAATTTAGGTCCATTAAAAGGCTTCTGCAGTGGCACCATAATAAGTAATGCACTAGAAGAGATATATGATAAATTTATTGACAAGCTTACGTAAATTTTAAAGCAATTAATATAGTGAGAGGATTAGAATTCTTTAACAGTTCATACGTAGCGTAAACAGATATCACTTTTAATAGTTTGATGACAGCTAAAACTACCAGAAGAATTTCCATCCTTAAAAAGAAACTATTTCAAGGTGTAAACACCAAATACCTTCTTCCGCGGTATGATAGATTACTAAAATGAAAATCCATTCTGTTCAACATCGCGCCTTACCAAACGATAGCGTCAACCGACCTTGAGATTATAAACGCTTTGGTGTGGCTTTCAGTCTTCAGTAATAAGGATAGGAGGTCTATTGACCTATATTAATCCCTGAAGTTTGCAACATTGTGGAGGTCCAGTCTCGTTCTGAATATATCAACTGAAGGTGCTGAAATTACGTGTTCCGGTAGAGAATTCCAGTCATTCACTACTCGGTGCGAGAAACGAAACTCCAGACGTAAACGATTTGATCTCGGTTTTTGAACTTCCTTTGAATGCCCTCTCAAATGGTCAGTCCTAGACGGAAAGAAAAGATAGGACATATTAATACCACGTTCATCGTTCAGTATACAATAAGCCAATATCAGATCACGCCGTATTCTACGGTAAAATAACGGAAATTAGTTGAGGTGTTTTAGTCTGTCTTCGTAAGATAGGCCAGACAGACATCTTGCCATTTCAGCCCATTGTCGTTCAACCCGGTCCAGCACATTTGCTTCATACGTGAAACAGGGACTCACTGCTTTAAACCATATTCCGAATGCGGTTTCACGCAAGTCGTATACAATTATCTAAACATTCCCTCACCCAAATACTGAAAAGACTTACGAATAGCCTCTTGCAGCAGCAGCCTTGCAGTTACTCGTAGTTTTTAGATTACTGCTTATTATGACTCCTAATTCTTTATAGTTTATTGCTTTGTGTAACACGACTCCATGTGTAGGGTCAGTGAAATGTTTCTGAACCATAGCCAAATCATCCGGCAGTTGGGTCACTGAAAATGGAACACTTCATCGATCCCTGTCGAGATCAAGGACAACCAACGCGCATCAGTCAATCGTATGCCATAGACTAGCCAATTTAGTGATGGTCTCACTATCTTCTCTGTATTCATTCTTACTAATATATTTCTGTAATAACGTCCCTTATGTTACACGGTAATCAAAGCAGCACAGTACCTTCATACGACGAAGGGGTAATCAATGTTAGGTGCTGACTGTGAGGTGTGACTTTAATGTTAACTGTTGATCACACCATTCCCGTTTTAATCGAGTAGGCCCTCAGAAATTGGACATAGATTATCTACACACGTATTGTGTAGTGATGTGAATCATCATAGTTATTTAATTGCATCGCCACACTCTTGTTAGAATTTCCTTCTGGTGACTGTTCGTCCATTCATGCCACCAATGAGTTGAGATCATCCTGTAATATTATTTTATCACAAAGATCCTACCGTGACCACCTCAGTCCAACTAATATCAGGTGTAATAAAGTCTACTAATATCAAGCATCTGTTACTTGCACTCCATAGCTGAATGTGCTCTAAAATAAATAGTGATGGAAAGCACAATGTTTATCGCTTAACATGTGTTCAATAAAAGACAATGTACGGACGAAATATTTTTCCTTAGAATTTTGCGTTTGAAATGGTGATTCTTTTGATTTGGGCTGAAAGGGTTTGTTGAAGGTAAGTTTCCACGTGTCGTAGTAATGCCATCCTTGATATTTTCTTACTAGGGAGAAATTTTCAGCCTGTGAAGCCAATCTTCCATAGTTTTCGCCTCCGAGCAAGAGCAACCGTTACTAAACATTCCATCATATCTTAAAAGAGTTGACACTGTTTTATTAAAATAAAAAGCAACAGTATGGTGTCGAAAAAATCCCCAGAATATACAGTCTTCGATATTGATGCCGACCTCATTACTTTTAAGAGACACATTGTAGCCGAAGGCGACAACCATTTAATATGCTGCATTGCACACTACTAACAACCCGCGAGCTTAGATCACATATCGAGTAACTGCCAAATATGTCTATAAACACCTTAACTCCTGACTTCGGATTTGACAGGGTTTTGAGCCCTTAATCATAAAGTTAAAATGGACAGATGTTTTGTCAAACACCAATATCTGTGACATCTTTGACAGTATTGTGCCTCAAAACAAGGCTCAGCAAAGGTTGTGTACTTCGCTTAGCCTGATGATTTTCCATAAACAGAATAAGCTCGTCTATCTACCTGTTCTTCTGCCTTAAAATGCACTAAGTTAGTCAAACTCTTTGATACAACAGTAAACTCTAGTTACTAAAATTAGAAGAGAACCCAAAGGTCTACCTCGACAATGTGATTCATTATTCATGACTCTGAACTGCAGACCTTAGTTTGACATGTTCAGAGTTGGACACTAACTCCATTCAACAGGACATTTATGCAGTACTGTTTCCCCTTTATTGTACCTATTGTTGATCTTTAATACACTCAATTTACTTTAGACGATTATGCAGATCTCCTGACAGCTCTGTATTATGAGATGCGCATACATCGTTAAAGGAAGATTAGATTAATGTAACACGCTCACAGAACCTTTTAAGTAATAATGTCTTTATTTCGTATAGAATACATGAGAAAGTGGTAAAAACAACTGAGGCTCAGGCAAATTGTAATCCCACAGCCTCTCGTTGAAGTTCCGAAAAAATTTTCCACGTCGGGCTCACCAGTTTCGTGCCTCTAGTTAACCCTTGTGGTAATGATAGAAGAAACCATACAAGTAGTGAATAGGTCCTTTTTCAGATCTTCGCGCTGGCACAGTGGAGCGTGGGATTATTTGTTAAGACAAACAAAGTCTCAACATTCAATATAAGATAATAGGAAATATAACCCCCATATAAAATAAGGAAGTGAATGAACACTTTAACTATATTGTTTTGACATATGCTTAGTTGTCTGTGGTGAACTCTTAACCAACCAACCTAAGCTGTTACAAGCTCTCTCTTGGAATTATTGCTTCATAATGACTGAGTATATATATACATGCTTACGTCAAGTTCGAGCGCATTGTTGAATGCGAACATTTTCAGTTCTATTAACACAAAATCAAGTGAAACTTGAATTGTGACAATTGTTATTATCAGAATGAGGGTTTGTGTAGATTGTAGTAATTTTGGTAGTTCAATTCGTTAGTCGATATGAGCTAAACCACCACCCAACTATTAAAATTATTACAATCTTCATAAACCTATATTCTGATATTATCATTATTTGCTCACTAGTGACTGACTTTATCATGGATCTCCTGTAGTTCTAATAAGAAATTGTTACCAGTGGGTCCCAATTCGTGTCGAATAAAGGCAGGTATCTATCTCAGACAATGGATGAATGATTCTGTAAGATCATGATTCGAATGAAGTTAGACATTACCACTGTTGGATGCCGGTTGAGTGGGTTAAGCATTCGCGATCGAGGCTGAAATTCCTGGGTTCGAGTCTCACATGCAAGGTCGTGGATGCGCACTGCTTAGGAGTCCCATACTAGATTGAAACAGCCGTCCGGGGTTCCCAGGTTTTCAATAGTGGTCTAAATATAATAGACGTATAAATTTAATCGTAAAACATATATTTAACCAACTATCACGTATTTTACTGTTTTGTGTCAAGGTGAATATTGATCAAGTATCCGCATTCCTTTAACTGTAATTTATTTCACTCATTCTATTTTAAATATGTGTAACCTCATACATATGAGGCATTACATCGTCAACATCGTGAATACAACTACTAAAACAAAGTTATTATTGTTAAACAAAAGTCATTGACGAAACTACTTCTGAAATGTCTCCTGACTATCTCCTCATCAAAAGTTCTCACCGAAAATGAATATAAACTACTCAACACCTGGGTCCCTAGGTTGATCTTTACGGCCTAACTGAAGTTTCCATTCTACATTCTGATACTAATTGTCTCTTAAGTGGTATGCTTTGACAAGTAGTGGTACTGGTTCTAACCATAATCCTCAAAGCTTAACATGAGATAACTGGGTAAATAGACTTTCAATATGCAATGTTAATAAAAGCTATAAATAGGGTACGCGGAAATATTCAATTCACTTCAATCGTATGGCATGGCCTAGCCTTGCAGGCGTGGTCATTTTGTGTAACTTAACGTTTATATTCATATTAAATATATTGAATTATCTCTAGCCTAAGTGCGTTGAGTCAGTGTGGACAATGATGTGACTTCCATGTAAGATCTAGAACTTATAGATCATGAAGTCACACGACGTGGTTGAAATCACAAGTAAATTAAGCCTTTAAAGTGCCAAATAAATTATGTGTGAGTAGATGAAGCTAAAATCCATACTTTCAAAAGCCTGTCTACTTGAAACAACTGTCAACAGGATTCTGGCTATTCAGACAGTCAGGTATCAGCACTAGCTACAGCCATCTATGTAAATCAAGTCATCCGAAACATTCATAAGTATCGCATTTATAACTTGATGGAATATGGCTGGAGTTGACGTGACTAAATCACAACCATCAGTGGACTCAAAAGTTTTAGATTTCTAAAGTTGCTGAACTCATTTAAAACAAGACGTTGCTAGCATCAGATGTATATAATCATCGGACATCTGATACTGAGTCATTTTTCTGCTTCGCGTCTCACATGAGCTCCATTTATGTTATCTGTATTCACAGGTGATATCCGAAAACTGATGCCGATAAAATATGCCACAAGCTAATCTCAGCTGACTACT